GAATCACTAGATTGCTTCCTCTCCTCCCCCTTGAAGCCAAAAACGTGGGGATGCTCTGAGAGAATTGTTCTAAGGATTCAGGTTGGCTGCAAGCCTGGCATCTCGCTTCCCAGCTGGACATGTGCAATGTAGCAGACACACTAATCAGCCTCTCCATCTACTGAAGAGAGGGAGAAGGGAAGTGGAGAAGGATGCAGGACCAGGAGAGGAGGCAGGTGAGGGTCAGCCTGCACCCTCCCCACATGGCGTGGCCAGGGTGTGTGGGTTTCCCATGGGTGAATGGACACCGCAGAAGGGAGCCAGCCATAGCCACATTATAGGTGCAGGACCAAAGGCAGGGGACTTAGAACACAGTGGAAAGGGGTCTATTGGTATATACTGGCATGGGCAGCGTGGAGGAGGTCAAACCAGGGCTGCACTGCCCACATCAAGGCCCTGGGACCGGACATGTGCCCCATATGAGGGCCAGCACTTGGGCACCTACCGCATAGTGGGAAGGCCAGTGTTAATCTGAGAAGCTGCCACAATGAGCACACAGGGCTACAGCTGTTGTCTGTTTAGAGACCCTCATCGTTTTCCTCTCCCTTCTCTTTATCACCTCAGAATTGCTGGGTCAGGAGGAAGTGGAGGAGGAATGTCTCAGAGCCCAACCATGGCCCCACTGTTCCCCTCCTCGCAGTCAGGGGACCAGCAGAAGAGTGTGCCAGGGCAGGGAGGGAGAAAAGGATTTAAACTAAACTAGAGATCGAAGTTCTGTAATTGGACAGAACTGAGCTTGTAAGTAACTGAAGTGGCCGGCAAGCTATGAGAACTGCCTGCATTGTCATTAAAGGATCCACTACACAGTGGGGGTGGGGGAGGGGGAGGGTGACGCAGCAAAAGACAGCTGAGAGTGACAACTCCAGAGGAAACAGAAGTTTCACGTGTATACCTCAGGGCGCTGAGGATCCTCAACCAACCACTTTCCCCAGAGCTACCTGGGCCTCCCCTTCCGTCTCCAAGTCTCCAGCACTGTGGGGACAGCAGAGGTGCTGCAGGGCCTCAGCTACCTAAGGGGTGGCTTCCAAGTGGAGGGAAGGTGTCCATTCCCCTCCACTGGTCATAGTGTGATCGACCTGTCAGAAGTAACGCACATAAAACACACCACGTAAACTGGGAAAAGCAAGTCTCTTTGTCCGTAGACAATGTCAGACTTGCACATTATTAATCAAGATGGAAAAGAAAGCACAAAGATAACCTACGCTGTGACAGTCACCAGAGTTGTTCACCAGTTATTTCTGATTCTATTTCTGGGCACTTGCCAGCAGCCTTTGAGTTAGGTAGGGCCATGTGATTTGCTTTAGTCATTGGAATGTGAGCAAAATGACAAATGTCACTTCCAGATGGAAGCTTTAGGAACCAGGGTGTGATTTATCACGTTCCCTTTGTTCTGCCTCCTCAATCATGGAGGATGGAGCTTCCCTCGGCCAGGGTCCCTGGGGGAGGACAATGTGGAGAAGCGCCCCAGGTGACACACAATGGCTGTGTTGCAGGAGTGAGAAAAAACCTTTATGTTCTAAGCTGCTGAGGTTGGGAGGGGTGTATGTCACCGCAACTTTCCTGAACCTTATGAGTAGCTTAGCAGTGTGTCTGTCCATCAGCTTATGGAGAGACCACGTCTGAGACGTGGTGCATGTGACCGTCAAGCGTGTGAATAATCAAGGTTGCCCTGGACTTGCAGACAGGCCTAGTCTGGGGTGCTACGACACGGTCATCTATCATTAGCAAGAGTCAATGCTTTGATGAGGAGGATACAGGGAAAAGAGCTTTTGTAGAGTGCCCCCCGTGAAAGGGAAAAGGGGTGGGGCGGGGTGGGAGAGGCTGCAGGGATGAGGTGTTGGTTGGGGTGGCACAGGAGAGTAGAAGGAATCGGCCAGAGTGCCCCACCCAGATTTGACAAGAAACAACAAGAGATACCTATGTCACATACCCAGTGCAGGCATTTGTAGGAGTAGGCAGGCACAGAACCAAGGTGGTGGCCCTATTCCTTGTCACACAAAGCGGAGGAAGGCAGGGTGGGGCTGCAGGCTCACCCAGCAGTCGAGTGTGACTCACTCAGACCTGCTCTTTCCCACACCAGCCGGGTCTCTCTGCTGGAGGCCACATCAACCCCAAATCTCCCAGTGAGGTCCTGCAGGGGCAAATGCCTTCCTTATTTCTCTCCCCCAAATCCCTGAAGCCTGTGACAGGCCTCGGCGAAGTAGTGGCTTTTAAGAAAACCCTTAACTGCTCTAAGAAAAAAATACACTCACAGCTCAATGCAAACCCCCGAGCTGGACAGGAGAGAGAAGGCTGCTGTTCTAGCCCCTCAAGGAAGGCAGCTGGGAGTGGGCAGAGCTGTGGGTGACTCCTGCTCTGCCCTTCCCAGCTGGGTGCCCCCCCCACTCAGCAAGTCACTGAACTCTTGGGTCTGAGTCCACACTTGGGAAGTGGGGAAAAAGATGCTTGTGTCACTGGGTCGCGATGAGTATTGCACACGCCAGGGCCTGTAGAGGCATCAAGCACAGTGTCTGGCACTTGGTAAGCGTGCCATGAACGGGCTGTCCTTTCTTCTGAAGCTGTGAGAAAGGGGCCCGTGTAACCACATTCAAGGGCTTAGACCTTTTCCCAGGAAAGCTTAGCTAAAGAAAAGCTTGGAAAAGAGTTTTGGCAAGGGGAATTATCTTCTGTTCACCTGCAAAGGACAAGGGGACAGAGTGTGGCAAAAACAATCTGGACATTCTCAAATGGGTGATCGAGGCAGTCATTTCCAGGAACAGCTGTGTGCAGAGAGTGGGCAAAGGGAAAGAGGACAGTCACACTGGAGCAAATCTAGAGCCCCCACCCCTAATGCCAATCCCTGTCCTGAAGTCCTCCAGCTCTGCAAACCAGACCAGCAGCCTCATGGCCAGCCAAAATATGTACCAAACAAAACCAGGGCACAGACTGCATGAAGCCTGCTGGGGGTCTGCTCCCCACCTACAGCTGCATCCTAGCCTGGGGTCTTGTGATCTCGATTAGGGCCAACGCACCCACTCCCACCAGCCTACAGCCATGGAATGAGCTTCCCCCAGCCCTGCCCCCAAAGCTCTGCCAGCAACATTCCCTGCATTCCAGGGACAGTTTGAGAGGGAGGGGGTGGGGGAGGGGCACTCCATGGGGCAGGTGTGTGGGTGGAGGTAGGAGAAAGAATCACAGAGAGTGTGCACCTTGCACGCACAGGGTCCTCACACAAAGTGAGTACACCTGCTGGCCACTGCTGGGTGCCCTGCCAGCTACATCATTAACTGCACAGGGAAAAGGACTAAACCTTCTAGGAAATGAAGACTTCATCAGAGTAAGCCACCCAAAGAAAGAGGCAACAACTGCCAAAGTTTACCCATTTTTATTTTTTATAAAACAAGCTACAAATAGTTTCCCTCCCTCCCTCACAAAGGAAAACCACACAACACAGCCCACACTCATGTGCGAGAGACAAGATGCCTACAGAAGATTCTGGACTTCTACAAGCAGGCGCCTTCTCCATGCATACATGCCTCCTCCAGGCCAGAATGGGGCTGGGATCTCCTGCAAGGTCCATCCATGCTGCGTTTGCTGGTCGGGGGTAACGGGAGACGGCTTCCTTTCCACCTTACCGTGAGGGATGGAGCCGCCAGTCATCTCTGAGACAACCTCTAGGACTTTCTCCTGGCCCAAGACCCCATCAGATCATGTCCTGCAGGGCCGTGTTCTTCCTATGGTCAGTGCTTGCACTGCCAGTGCCTTCCAGCCCCAGAATGGGACACACAGCCTGCCAAGGTGGATGCACTTGTGGGGATACTGGGATAGAATACGAGATGAGGCCAGGTTTCCAAGAGCAATCAGATGAGGGCACTGGTGCAGGGCTACCTGACCTCCCTCGCTGCCACCACGGCTGCTCATGGCAAGAGGCGCTAAGGGTCACTGCCGCTCTGTCTGAAGGCCACCTGAGTGGACACATCACCTGGGCAGAGGAAACTGTGCATCTGACCCAAAGGCTGGGCAGCAAAACGCTGATGGAAAGCTGGGCCAGGGTGTCCCCGTAGCTGGCGTAGTACTCCTGCCCTTCTAGGGGAGGCAGCAGTAGGAGACCCAAGATCAGTTTTACTTCTAGAGTTGGCCCAAAGGCTGGAAGTCCAAAAGAAAATTTAAGGGAACAGAAAAAACCTCAGCATTGGATAAGAATAAAAAGAACAAACTATAGAGTTACCAACAAGGTGACCGACCCATCCCACCCTCAGGCCCATCATGCCCACTGAGGACAACGGTGAGCCATGCAGGAGAGGTGAGGTCAAACTGTCTGCCCGGCGCTGACACAGGTACGTCTCTGGGAGCCTCCAAGCTGTCCTGTTGGCACTGCACTCCCCAGTGCAGGCTGTCTGTCCTCTTCCCTCTACTGCTTAGATACTAAACATCTACTTAACAACAACAACAACAACAAAAGCCCTGCTGTGTGTCTTTTTCTTCTTTGCCTCCCCCCCCATGCTTTATACAGCGTAGATGCTAAACATGGATGGAAATGTTTAAACTGACCTAAACAGAACCTTTGTGGATAATCTGCCCAGGAGGACACTAAGATACTGGTGCACCCAGAGGCCCAGGGCCCCCGGGGGTCAGGACAGCAGGAACACTCTGGCCAGGCCAGGCCGGTGCCTGCGCTGCTACTCACAGATCTGGACTCCTCGCCTCTCCCAACCCAGTCTCCCCGGGGCAAGGCCAAGTGACTTGTCAACTTTGACAACAAATGGCATGAGGTGGCACACTCCTCCCACCAGAAAAGAACTGAGGGAGTCTGCAATAGGATCGCAGGGCTCCCCTCTATATACACACGGGTGTCAGTCTCCAAACAGAATCCAGGTAGGCTGGGGATAGAGCCTGGGTTCTAGAAAGCTGGACCCTGTGTCCAGAGTGCCCACAGCCCACAGCAGGGAGAGAGGAGGAATAAACAGACAGCAGTACCAATGCCTGTACAAAAGATCTATACAATTTACAAATATATTTATATACAGTATATAAATCTCTTTCTTCTCAGCCCCAACGACACCCTCCCTCCCCCCAAAAAAACCTAAACGTTGTCAGTAGCAGATCAAAAACTTACAATAAGAGAAAGAATAACCAGTCTTTCTTCCCTTTCCTTTTCCCACTGTGGTATTAGATACTGGTGTTTAAAAATGAAACCAAAAACGAAACACGCAAGTAAGAGTCATTAAAAGTGCAAACATGGTGGGCACCACTTGTTACACGGGACGTGGCTGAGCCGTGGGCGACGCTGAGGGTTAGGTGTCTGACGGTCCGTCCTGTTTCCCTGGACTCTCCACCTGCCCTTGGACTTTCTGCTCCTTAGATGAGGCGCCCTATCAAGAACAGGGAGGAGAGTGCAAGAGCAAGAAGTTAGAGTTGGGTCCATGAGAAACCCACCTATATATGTCGATCTCCCCACAAGAGCAGCCTTTTCCACCTGCTGTCAGCTGTGGGACACAGGTGGCCTAGACTTGCAGATAAACGCACTTTACCAGCCCGTCCTTTGCCGCCATGAGGCACCACAACAGCAAGTGAAATAAGCGTGGCATCCCAGAGGACTAGCTTCGCTAGTAAGCACAGGTCAGGGGTGTGCGCCCTGCACAAATCGCACTACTCTCAAGACGCCAGCCCTTTAACCTGGGGCTGGGGCAGAGACAGAAGACATTTGTTTACTGCTGGGTACAGCAGAATCTTCTTAGCACTAACCCAATGTTGCTCTTGTATCCTCATCGAAAATCTTAAAAATGGGAGCTGAAGTCACCCGGCCAATCCCTTCACTCCTGCTATACTACAGAGCTTCACCGGGGGGCCATGGAGGAAACAGGGGAGCTGAGAAACAAGGCAACATACTGAGTGGGTTTGTGCCTACTCGATTTCCCTGGGGGAAGCTGCCAAGGCTACTAACTGCAACAGGAACATGTGATGCTCAGGTTGCCTTGACCCAGAGAATTGGCAGAGCTTCTCCTATACCTGGCTTCCTGTCCCCTCTGACCCCCAGAATGAAGAGTGGCCTTGGGAAAGAGCCAGAAGTTGTGTGGCCATGCTTCCTGTTCTGTGGGTGTCTGTGGCTGTGTTCTGCCCAGGTGAGCCCTTTAGTGGCCAACACCTTTAAACAGAGTCTCTTTCTCATAAGGTCAAGCTCCTGCTGGGTGCCTCTTAGAAGTCCCCTTAGCTATTTGCTAAGAAGGCCTTTCGTGCTGATGGACACCTGCAGGACCTCCTTGGGTCTTGGTTTCCCAAGTTACAGGATGTCAGAGGTGGAAGGAATCTTAGCCACCACTGAGTCCAGCACCTTCACTTGGGAGCAGAGACTCGAGGCAGATGAATGACTTACACAAGGTCCACTCCTGCCCACAGGCTGCTGAGCAGTTCTGAGACTGCCGTGCCTGCTCCTGCAGGGCCCAGCTCTCCTGAGGGAGGAGCAGGGAGCTGGGAGGCAAGCGCAAGAGCTGGGACCCTTAGGGCCACGTGACAGCACACACAGCTGAAAGCTCTGGGTCGGTCTGTAGGCTGGGTGTTGGGACCACAGCCGTGCTGCTTCCGCTCTGCCTCCTTCGCAGAATTGCCTGTGGACCCACTGCCTTCCTGGAGGAGCAGAAGGCCTTTGCAGAGCGTACAGTGCTGCGGAAGCCAAGCCCACCCGTTGGTCACATGACCCACAGCTCAGTGTCATTCCCCCTCCCCCCTGGTTATGCTAACACTCCTTAAGACCTGAGAAGGACACAAAGTCAGAGAGTGACAGGCCCAAGGCAGGCAGGTGCGGAGTAGCAGAGCCAGGCTACCGGCTCCAAATCCCACCTTTCCTCTGCTCCCTCCGGCAGCTGCTTCTCTCCGTGCTGAACAGAAGGATCTAGAGAGAGACCCACAGCAGTCCTGCCACCAAGCTGAGACAGGAGCGACACGTACAACCAGCAGCAACCAGCTCTCTTTTCTAGAGGCTTCCTGTACCAGTCCTTTACCTAAGTCCTGTCACTTAATCCTCAGAGCAACTTTTTATGATAGTGACAAAATTATCCCCACTTTCTGATGATGAGACTGAGGCTCGGTGATGTCGAATAACCTACCCAGGAAGGCAGAGCTTTTGTGCGGGGAAGCGAATCCAGACCTGGCTCTCTGCCTGCAGGACCACGCTCCAGACCACCAGGGAGCCCAGGGGAGACAAACAGCCTGATCCCGGGGCAGGTGGCATCCCCAGACAATTTAAAGGAAGAGCTGGCATTTCTGAAAACTGGAGGCAGCAGTCCTACCCTGCGTGTCTCAGAGGATGGTGACAATAATCCCGATGAAGGCGCTTTATAAATTGTGAAAGGCCAGTTATAAAAGAGGCCCCAGCTCTCAGAATGTCTGGTCTTTTCATGCTGTACAGAGAATTCAGCTCCCCAGTGAGGAGTCTGGTTGGTAAAAATATCTCTGTTCATGTGACATTTCCAAAAATTCAATCCCTCAGTCCCCAAACTATATTCATCCCAAAGGTCCAAATCCTCCCCTGACCCCGCTTCTGCCCCCACTGAGTGTGCAAGCCCCTCTCAGACCACCAGAGGGCACCGCATGATACCGGATGACCAACGTTGGCGCCGTCCTCTGGGGCAGCTACGCACCATCCACCCAGGCGGTGTTTCTGCCTCCCCCAGAGCAGAGGGACACAGCGGGCTGCCAGTGACATGACGCCTCCAGCCCCGGCTGTGTCCCACCACCGCTACTAATCTCTTTTGTGCCTTCACTACTTACCAGGGACCACGCTAAGTTCTTTACATGTGTTATCTTGTTAAACTCTCACACCGAATCTATGAGGTACACACTATCATCCCCATTTTGCAAATGAGGAAACTGAGGCTGAGAGAGTTTAGGTATTGCCAGAGATGGCTGAGCTGGGACTAAAAGCTGGGGCTGTCTGACGTCAGGGGCTCCAGTCTCACCTCCAGCCGCACCTGCACCTAGATCGTGGTTCCCCTCGCCACTCCTAGGCCTCTCAATGGCGGTCTGTCCTGCTGCAGACACCGCCCACCTGGACACCGTGGGCTTCCCCGCTCAGCATGCTGGTGGCGCCCTGCCCCCCGCTGCCTCTCTCCCTGCTCACGCTGCCCCAGGCTGGGGCTGCTCCGCCACTTCCCTTGGCTTCCTACGCAAGTAAGGTTGGCCTGCTCACACAAGGTGACTCCTTCGAACACTCATGGAGGGACGGCAGTCTGGCCTAGGAAACTCGAGGATGAGCCAAGCGCCAGCAATGGTGCTGCCTCACGTGTAACCTTGAGCAAACTCTGCTCCTCTTCAGGCCAGTCTAGACTCCTCAACTGCAAAAAGGACTAAGGGCCTAAGGAGCCTTCTGGCTCTAAGGTACACAGATCTGGGGCAGTGCATCCGCGGTGTGCGTGGAGATGGAGAGTGGAGAGAGAATGATCCTGCTCCATTTCCCCGCAGGCCTTAAGTCTACATAGATTCCCTCACCCTACCCTGTCGGTCAATACTACGTGCCCTCTTCCTTTCTCCACACTTGACTCTTCTCTCTCCATCACACACACACATACACACGCGCACAGACACATGCACACATAGGTGCAAACGTGCACATGTACACGTGGGCATGCTTAAAGACATGGACAGACATGCACACGTGCATATGCACAGACCATGCATGCACACACACAAACATGCACACAGGTGCACGCTCAGGCATGCTGAGACATGTACAGATGTGCATATACAGAGATGCACAGATATGTACACAGACATAGGCACAATGCATGCACACATATGTACAGATATGCACATGTGCACACTCAGGCATGCTTACAGAGACACATACAGATGTGCATATACAGACACATGCAGAGACATGCCACAGACACCCAGACAGACACATGCACAGACACAGCACTCCTGCCAGACTTCCAGCCAGGCAGGTGTTCGGGAGTCAAGAGCAGTCCCAGAGCTCTCTGGTCTCCCTAGTCCCACCTTTGGGGTGGGAAGGTCGGGAGGGTGTGTGGAGCCAATAAGCATGACAGTTGCTCTCCAAAGCACTCTAGAGGCTTCTGTGGACAAAGCTGTGAAGATAATTAAGCTAGAACCTGTCCCTCACTGAGCCTGGGGAGGAACATTAGGCTGACCAGTGCTCCCTAATACCCCATTACAATTCAGTTTTCTCCGATGCTTCCCTCAGGTCCTGTGCATCGGCCGGGATTGGCAGACACCTGGTGTCTGGAAAGGCTTTAGAGAAGGCTAGGAGAGCTCCCTGGGCTCTGTGGGCAGGAGGTCACCACACTCAGTCTTCCCCCGGATTCTGTGTAGTGTGCAGACCAGAACTACCAGCACGGGAAGGGGACCGAGGGCAGGGTCAGTACAGACCAACCCCACTCAGCCTGGGAGGGCTCCTGGCAGTGCTCCTGGCAGGCCTGGGGTCTCACACTAACACTGCATGGTCTCTTTCCATCTGCCCACACTCTGCCAAATGAGCACAGATTCCAAGTGTGTCGGACCATGATGGTGCCACAAAGGGCACCTCCTCATCCACTCACTCCTTCACTCGTTCGTTCATTCGACAAGGACTTGAGGAACTGCTACCATGTACTGTGCTAGAGGTTGGGAATTGAGAAGACAGCGTCCATGGCTTCAAGGGGGAATCAGAAAAGTAAACTGCAATACAGTGCAATAAGTGCTATTGAGAGAAGCAAGAATCTTATGAAGAAAAACAGCAATACTAAACCTCCACTGAGTTTTCTCAATGTCTTAGGCACTATGATAAATGCTTTCACTCACTGTCCCACCTAATCAGCACAGTAGCCCTGTGAGTAGACGCTATCATTATTCCTACTTTACGGATGAAGAAACTGAAACAGAATGCTTGAGTAACCTGTACAGGTTGACCATCCCAAATCTTAAAATCTGAAATCTGAAATGCTCCAAAATCCAAAACTTATTGAGTGATGCTAAAAAGTCAGCATCACCCAAATCTGCATCTTCAGCCCAGACCCTTCACCTGCTCTACAGACCCACTCATCCTTCGGTGCATCCACTTGACGTGTCCAAACCGTACTTGTCTTCCCCATTCCCCTACACCCAACCCTCTCTTCCCTCCAGCTGCGCAGACCAACCTGCCCCTAAACCCACTCAACCACCAGCCCACCCATTTCTCTTCATCCTCCCACCCGCTATGCTTTTCATCACTCACCCTCCACCACCTCCTGCTTGGACAATGCCAGGCCTCCTAGTGGGTGACTCTGCTCTGCTCATCTCCAATCCATTTCCCACCCTGCAGCCAGAATAACTCTTCAAGCAAAACTCATCTCATCATTTGTCTGACTGAGCCCCATCAATAGCTTTCAGCTGTCGTTATAAAGTCTAAACTCTTTCACCGGGACTAAAAATCTCTCCAGCCTCACCTTGCTTCTTGTCACGTGCCAACTTCACACCACTTTAAAATATGCATTCATCATTCAACAGACATCCTTCCGTTCCTTGAAAACTCTGTTTGCACCACCAGAGCTTCACTCATCTTAAAACACTCTCCCCTCCCCTGGCCTCTCTACTTGGCTATCTCCTACTCACGCCTCAGGTGTTGGCATAGAACATGGGTTGGCAAATGTATCTGTAAAAGACTAGATAGGAAATATTTTAAGCTTTTGGGGCCATGTACAGTCCCTGTCGTATATTCTTCTTTAAAAAAAAATTACAGCCCTTTAAAAATGTAAAAACCATGATTAGCTCACAGGTCATGCAAACATGGGCCACAGACTAGATTGGGCACGCAGGCCACAGTTTGCTGAGCCCTGGTTGAGGCCTCACTCCCCACACACAGGTTTCCAAGGCTGTCTGCCCCTTAGTGTCTTAGGTACCCCTACATATGTTCCTACATACTCTGCGCTTGTCCTACTGTGACAGAGATTATTAAGTGTTCCCCAGAAGCCATGCTCCCCTCACTTCCTGTGTTCCCAGCCTCCCTGCTGCTGGGTGTGGTCAAGTGACTGAGCCCCAGCCAGTGAAATATGAGAAGGGATGTGTGTCATTTCCAGGACTGGCCCATAAAACTCGCTCACTGCACTGCTTCATGTGTGCTCCATCTGGTTGACTGGCAATGGAGATGACCCCCAGGTTAACCCCAGAAGCCACATGATGAAGATGGCAGAGTCACTCAGCCTGGATCCCAGAGCGACTGCATAGATCAACCCTCACTCCTACTCTTCCCCCTACACACACATACACATACACATATACACACACACACAGACACACACATACTCTCTCTCTCTCACAACCTGGAACCATGTTGCACTCTTGCATAGGTAAGACAAAAAATGTCTACTGTACTGAGCCATGTCATATGGGTCCACTTGTTACTGTAGCCTGGCCTACCCTAACCAACACTCACAGCACTTATCACAGTGTATGTGAATGCTTATTTACTATCTGTCTCCTGTGCAAGGACAGGGACCTTACCAGTCAATGCCACCACTGTGTCAGGCATCCAGCATGAAGCCCAGAACACTCTAGTAAATAGTAGTTGAATAAATGAGCACCTGGGATCTCGTTTATCAGGAGAGCCCTTGGCCCCTGTGCCTGGGTGGGGCAAGTAATGAAAGGCCTGGAGTAGAGGGGACGGCACTCACCTTCTTTGCTAACACCCAGGCAGCCCTTCAGCTCGGGCAGTGAAATGACCTTGTCCTTGTTCAGGTCACAGTAGTCGGTGAAACGCCGGGCGCATTTCTTGGGCTTGGCTTTCTTCTTCACGTAGCGCTTGAAGGGCTTCATCTCCCGCTTGTTAATGTCATTGCTGCTGTTGCTGTCCAGCTGGCTGAAGTACCAGTGCACCACTCGCTCCTCCAGGGTGTGGCTGGGGTCTGGCTCTGAGAACCTGGGCCACGGACGGACACCCACACCCCACACGACACTGCTCAGGATCTTGCAGGAACCATCAGCCCATAAAACTCCCTCAGGTGCTCTGCTCGAGATCCCGCCCCACCGCCAATCTCCCCAGGTGGTCCGATGCCAGGGCACTCATGCTGGGCTGCCGGCAGCAGGTAGGAACAGCTCCCCCAAGCCAAAGTCCACCCAGGGAGGTCAGCCTGCGGCAGCATCGTGCCATCCTCTCCAACTTGGATCTCAAGATCGGACAATCCTTTTCTCAGGGCTCCCCAAGTGGGTGATCTTATTACATGAGCATGTCTCACCCTCTACCACAGCCAGAAATGTTCTTGCACAGGATGGGTGCTTGAGACAAACTGGCTCGATCTAATTCACCCGAGTAAACCACACCTGGAATCCAAACTGTCCTTCCCCTGGCCTTCTGCTCACTGTGCACGAGCTGCTCTTCACAGACTCACGTGCACCCTCGGGTGGACATGGCCATGGGAAGGGGTGCCCTGGGAGGGGTGCCCCGAGCTGCACACCGCCTCTGTGAGACAGAGCCTCAACTGCGAGGGCAGGCAGTTTGTGAAGTGCGAAGTTCCCACACTCCCTCGCTGCCGGGCGCCAAGTGCAGTAGGAGTTGAGAGAAGAAGGCGTCTGGGACAGACGCAGACAGAAGTTCCAGACCTGGCAAATCCCAGACCTGCTAGGCGTGAGTCTTTCCAGCCCGAGGTTTTCAATCAGAAGGTCTGGGGTGGGCCCAGAAAACACCACACGTGAACCAACACCCCCAGGTGGTTCTGCTGAGAAACACCGGACTAGAGTAATCAAGAACACTTCCTGGTGTCCAGACGTGCAGCCACGACCGCGTCTAACAGCCCACACACTGTGGTGACCATGAAGTTACCAGACCGACATCTACATGTGTAACTGTATGCAATGTCCTGCCTATTTATTTTATTTACTTATTTGTGGCCTATCTTTTCCCAAAAAGGAATCACAGTGATAACTAATATTTACAATTCTTAAAGCCAATGATGGGTCTATTCCAGAGGGACTGAATGGGGTCTCTGACCAGAAGAACAGAGCCCCAGGGGTTTCCAGGGCTTGGCACAGAGTGAATGTGGTCTAGGCCCTTGTGTTCAAATTCCTGGGCAACTTCCCCTTAGGAAGGAGAATAAGGTTGAGGTTAGGAGTCCCACGCATTCAAATCCCAGGGTTCCAGGGCCTTCCAGCATATTCTGAAGCTATACGTGGTAAGAAAACATTCAAGGCACTCGCCAATGCCACCCTGTCTTCTCTGGGGCTTGTCAAGTTTTCCAGAAGGAGGGGACCATCTCTGACCTCTCCACTGTGTACAAGCCAGCAAACTCTCTCCCCTTCCCACTCCCCAAGTGACCTCAAAGTTCAGGGAAAAAGAAGTTTCCTTACCAAAAAAAAAGCCAGTCATCCCTGTAATATGCCCACTCCTAATTAGGTGGATTTCTGTCTGGGGCAGTTCCCCTGCGCATCCTGAACTGACTCCAGGAGGGCGCAATTAGCGGATGTGCCAGTGGGGCCTCACCCCGACAGGTCTGACTCAGGCAGTACCTGGCCGAAGGTGTGAGGGAGCCGTGCAGACCTGCCAACGGCCTCTGATTCTTTGGAAATCTGCTTAGTCTGTCATGGAAACCAAGCTCAGGAGGTCTTTGAAGGTATGAAGGCATGAAGGTATTCACTGCGGAGCTCAGATTTTGCCGTTGCCAGCGTACACGGTGCTTTGGTGGTTTCAATCGCCCTCTATGTACCAGCAACACTCACTCGCAAGGCTCTCCAGACCAACCCTGCGGCGCAGACCGAGTGGGCAAGCAGAAAATTCTCCTCGCGATGCTCAGGGTGCAGGACGGGGAGCGCCCTGCCTGCCCCTGCCTTTTCCTAAACACCAGGGAGGACACAGAGACGGGGGAATCTGAAGAAGGCACTTCGCTCTCTCACCAGGGGCTCTGACCCAGGCTTGGGGGAGGCCGACAGGGACCTTCCCTCTCAGCCCCTCCAGCCAGGGAGCCATGGCAGCCCCAAGGCTCTCCAGCTCTTCCTCTAACCTTTAGGCTCCGCATAGCGTAATGTCTGCCTAGAGGCTGGAATAATAAAGCCTCAGTCGCAGAGACGGGAAGGGATGAGGTCATCGCACCCAGAGGCGCTGCCAGGGGAGGCTCGCTCCCTCCAACATGTGTTCCTGGGGCTCCCGCCTGTCCAGCTTTCAGCAACTCCATTGATAGAGCTCCCCCCACCTTCCTTTGGGCTATTTTGCAGCAAGAAGCAGTTCTTCTTCCCGACTTTACAACCTCTGAGTTTCCTTCCATGCCAGAGAGTGATCATCATCTGGCTCCGTCCCTGTCCCTCCCTCTATGCTGACTCTCCCGTCCTGCTGTCTCCACGTCAGAAGAACCATGTTCCTGCTCTCCTCACCCTCATGAGGAACTCACAGTGCAGAGCACCCATGATTGCCAACCACTGGGCTCCCCTCTCCACTCCAGCCCCCCACCCCTGTGCCCAACTCCCACGTGAGCTCCGGGCTGAGATGTGCAGCACTCGCTTCCTTGGGAGGAGTCCTCCGAGCCCCTCCACGCAGTGCCTCTGGGCTCCCTGTAACACCGCCACAACCCACAGCTTGCTCTGTGGGCTGGAGGGTCCTGCCCCCATTCTCTCTCCTTCCCAGCTAGCTGGAGACTCTGCTTTTCAACTCCTTTGACCTCCAGAATATGCCCCCACACACACAAGTAACACAGCCCAGCTCTACCTGCGAAGCTGGGGAGCACTGTGGTCACACTTTGGAACTCAACACCTTGGCCAGGCCAAACTCCAAGTGCATTTATAGCAAGAACTTCTTAGCTTTGTACAAGACAGGTGCTGAAGACAAATTGGCTGGACCTAATTCACCTGAGTAAGCCATAGGTGATCCACACATTCTCCCCTGCAGACCCGCCTGAGAACCTAAACAAAGCGACAGGCCCTCTCTATAAAAAATGCTCATACACACAGAAGGCTGCAGATTTTAGGGGACTAATGGACTTCCTAAAGCCCATTCAAAGTCCAGGGACTCAGGTAAAGAACCGTTGTTCTAGAAGACTCTAGCCACAGCCCCAGAAGAATATTTAAGCATGATGCTTCTAGATGAAGGAGTGAGACAAAAGTGGATGGGAGGGGTTTGGGGTGGTTTCCATATTTCCAACAAAACAAAATAGAAAAACGAAAACTACTGAAGGCATCGGATTAAAAACTCTATAAATCGAGTTTCTGACTTGGCAATAGGGCACTCACTTCCCATGCTTTGCACCAGCTCTGGTTGAGGCTGAGACCCAGCAGGAGTCCTAGCACAGCCAACCCAGCAGGATGTGTGTGTAGAAGAAGACACCAGAGGCTTCTGCTGACACCTTTCCCAGGGCGGTGCTGAGTGGGCGTGGGGCAGGAAAGCCGCCCCGAGTTTCAGGGACTCTCTCAAGCAGTCTGCTAGATTCCTTTTCATCGTAACTTCTTACCGTTTATACCCTGACCACAAAGCCACACCCACTGGTCCCTCTAGCTCTTGCACCTTCTCCTCCAGCACCCAGTCTGTCCCACACGTGCACATATTTATCCCACGGGAGATGTCAGGACTGCCAGATTCAACGCTGCTCACCAGGCAAGGGCTGGGGACCCTAAACTAGAGGGAGCCAGAGCTCTTCTGCATGGTGGAAGTTCTACTTCTGCTAAAAGGTAGAATATCCAAGTTTCCTTGGACATGGTGTGGAAAGACACACCCAAGTGGTACCAAGTTCCAGGTCTCAGAAGACCGTGGTTCCATACAACACTGGTGTCTGCCCTGCCTCTGGGCTGTCTTAGTGGCTGTCCTATTGCCTCTCGCCTCCAGGGATGAGGAAACCCACTAGAGCCAGGTCCCTCCCTGAACTGGCCCCACTAAGCCTTCTCCCAATTTTAGAGGTGGCACAGGCCACCCTCCTCCTGCAGCACTTTCAGTTTTGCTTCTGCAGCCTCAGCCCTGCCAGGCCTTGGCTGCAACGCACAGCTGGAGAGCCAGCCCCATTTACCACAGGGAAACCTGCTCCGGCCAAGATCTGGGGCCTGGTTCTGCTGTCCTCAGCAGTTTTAGGGAAGGTAAAGTGGGACGGCCTGGAGGCACCAGCCAAGCCAAGCAGACCAACTGAGCCCCATCTGGAGCTGGGTCCAGGCCCCACCAGCTGTGCGGGTGGGGCTGGGAAATACCAACTCAGCCACATTCCAGCCTCTTCCTTGCAAAGCCATCAATGGGCAACCGCACTGGGCAGGAAGGGCGAAGCCACAGCACAGATGGTCTTTCTTTGGGGGACCACGGGAAGGGCCAAGAGGCTCACACAGCCCATCCCACCTCCCCTCAAAGTTGACTTTCCCTAGGGCAGGGTGGAGTCAGGAGAGGATTTCCCTGCTCTGGAAGACTCTGCCAGCTGGGACCTCAGAAATCTTCCTTTGGGAGTGACAAATGCTCATGGATGCCATGGGAAAGCTGATCTAAAAGGGAGCACTGTCCCCTGGAGCCCTGACAGGAGGGACCAAGGGGATAACTCACTCAGACAACAAACGTGCATTAGGAATGGCCACCACCCAATGATACTTGCAGGGTGCCCCCTCCTGTGCATCTGCTAAAGATCTTCCATGGACATCCATTCTACTTTGCCTGTTTTTAGATCTGGACAGCACTGCTTTTCGCCACCAAATCAGGCTAGAAGGCCAAAAAACAGAGTAGATGCCCCCCTCTCTTCTACTCCCTGCAGCTAACAAGTCTTGAAATCCCATTGATTTCATTACAGAAGCTTCAGCAAATCACCCCTTCCCCACAGCCCATGCTCTCATCACCCGTCACACTGACAATTGCTGTAACCTTCCTGCCCCATCTTGCTGCCTCCAATCCCGCTTCCACAGTGCCATCAGGATGATTCTTCAGAGGTGTAGGCCTGGCAGGACTCAGGAGGCCCAGCGCCACCTGGGCTCTGCCCGGCTCTGCAGCCTCATCTCCTGCCTGCCCCCAGCCTGCCTCCCCACCTTAACCCACACTACTTCTTGCAAGTCCCTCCACACACCCTGCCTTGTCCACACCTCACTACCCGTGTGGGCCCCTCTGCTGGATGCGCTTACCCCTGGTCCATCCAGGTTGGGACATTTTCCCATTTGTAGGAGAAGTGTCACCCCCTATGTAAAGCCTGCCCTCACCCACCCTGCCTCCCCTAGTCCCTGCAGCACTTTATCAGCCTCTACTATCACGCTGACTTTGCAGTGTGGTCACGTGGTTCTATATCTCTCCTCCAGGCCAGGGACTGTGCCCTTTTCCTCAGATGTCCCCAGAACCCAGCATGGAGCTTGTACTGGAGGGCAGGGGGTGAGACATGAGGTGCAAACCCAAAATATCCATGCCTGACAGGTGGTAGACTGGGGGAAGAGACACCTTCTTTTCTTCACTGCCCAAACATTTCCCTGTCCCTTTTCCCCACTGTCCCCAAGTGGGACTGTTTCCCACTGGCCTCAGCTGATGTCCAGCTTTAATTGCCAGACCCTGAGAGCATACCGGAGGGATTGGATGTGGCCTCATGCTTGCAACCCCAACTCTGCCTGAATTCCAAAGCCAAGGCCAAAACCCAGGAAGCCTGGATTTCCTAATTCTCTTCATCAGCCCTGTTTCAGACATGCTACCCAATCTCCAGCTGCCCAGTGTCTCTGCTCCTCCCTCATATGAGACGGGTGACTGGCCAGGGTCTGTCCACGCACAGCACCCCAAGTTCCTGGGGGCCCAGCCAGGGTGCCACAGGGCCCTGGTTACAAAGAAGCACCTAAAGTTGGTGGCTGGATCCGCCTGCTACTTAGACTTGTAGCCATGGGTAGAATGAGTAGAGCCTCTGGTGTGTGCCAGAAAGACACCTTATCAAGATATTCCTCTCTGTGTCAGACAGGGATCCACCCATATGTCCATCCAGCCTTCTAGCTGTTTATTCATTTAACACGTTACTGAGCACCTACTATGTGCCAGGCACTATTCTAAGCTCTAGAAATACAGCAGGGAAGAAGACAGAAGTGCTTCTTCTCTCATAGAACTTAAATTCTCATTGGTTGGGGGGAGACAGACAATACACAAACAAGCCAGCAAAATATCAGATAGCGGAGTCCAAAAGGGGTACTGAGGCAGAGGGTGAATGGGCAGCTCCTCTAGATTGGGCGGTGTCTGAGAAGGTGACATTTAAATGAACAAGCAGGGGCGGTCATGGGAAGATAGATGGGGAATCAAACTCTAGACTGAAGGAGCGGCTGGCACGGAGGTCCTGGGACAGGTGAGAGCTTGACCTGTTTGAGGACCTGGAACCCAGGAGGACCAGTGCTTGGGGAATAAGGGTGGGAAGGAAGGAATGAGCGAGCAGGGCGAGGGGCCAGCTCTCGTAAGAGCTGGGGCTTATGCCAATATCATGGGAAGAGCTGGGAGGGCTTTAAACCCAGCAAAACTGGTGCCCCTGGTCAGCTCCCTCCCTGGATAACTGCTTCTCTCTCTCTCCTCTTTCTCCTTCCTCTTTCCCCCCAGCCCCTTCCCTGATTTCTAAACTATTTCTTGGATTGTCTTGTCTGTCTCTTGATTAAAAGTCCAGCCTCGAGGTAATGTAACCACCGAAAGCAGCTCAAACCTTTCATTTCCTTCAAAACCAAGTATGGTCAAACTGATATGAGCTTAAAATGAAAAACGTATTTGAAAAGAATATTTCTTAAAAACTTCTCTCAACTCTAAATTACACCTAAAATAGAAGGTTTAAAAAAAAAAAAAGTCCCTTCCCTGAGGACACACTGGTATTAAAAACGTTATAAATTTCGTAGCTTTTATTGTCTATAAAAATCCCTTCAGCCTGTGATTTGAAGGTAGGGCACCATCCTAACTTCCCCCAACAGTGGGGCCCACCGTGCTCCCGCTGCCTGCAGCCGAGTCCATGTGTGTGTGTGTGTGTGTGTGTGTGTGTGTGTGTGTGTGTGGTGCTCAAGAGCTGCAGCCCCCGTGAAAGCAACCAGGGAGGAGCGTGAAGCCTCCTTAGGACTGAGGCAGGACCTCAGGGGGATGCCTGGGCTGGTGGGCAGAGCCAGTGGTCTTCAGGGCACTGTGGGTGGGAAGCACCCACACCTGGCAATTTTCAGTGTATGGTCCTTCCTTTTTTCTTTTTCCTTCTCTTTTAATAAACATAAATATCTCATGCCTGTTTCTGCATGAAACAGCAGGTATTTTTTCATATTCTAAACACAAATAACCTACAGGCATATAATATCGAATGCACCTTTTCAAAAGTCCCCTCTCCTTGGAGACCCTGATGCAGCCCTCTCTGTCTTAGACACCGAGCCGCCTGCAGCAGCTCCCTCTGTGGCCTTTCAGCCCCTGCCTCCATCGTTCTCAGACTTCGTGCTGGGTCCTGACCCACAGGGAAGCAGAAATGGAGCCACAGCTAGAAACCAGCCTCCGAGCTCACGGGACCATGAGGTGCTAGAGCAAACGCCCTGAGAAGCAGTCTCCAAGAGTGGCAACCACGGCACTCACTTTTTTCTTTGCTTTGCTTTCTTTTTATAAATTTTATTTTATTTTGGTAAGAACACTAAACATGAGCTCTACCCTGTTAACAAATTTTTAGGTGTGTAGTGTAGTACCGTTACCTATAGGTACAAGGTCGCACAGCAGATCCTCTGGCTTGATTAGCAACTCCCCGGTTCCCTCTTCCCGTAGCCCCGGCAACCACCATTCTGCTCTCTGAAGCTGTAAGTCTGACCATTACAGGTACCTCGTGTAAGTGGAATCATGTGGCATTTGTCCTATGACTAGCTTATTTCACTTGGCGTAATGTCCCCTGTGTGACAGGATTCCCTTCTTTTTAAAGTCTGAATATTATTCCACTGTATATATATGCCACATTTTCTTTATCTATTTATCCACTGATGGGCATTTAGGTTGTGTCCACATCTTGGCTATTGTGTGTGCTCACTCTGATATGATATAAAATTGGGTTTTCAAGACAGCTGCCTTTGTCTGCCTCAGGATGCAGAACCATCCACAGCTATGCTTGGAGTCCTGGACCCCCATCCTAAGTACATGCCCTGTGGTCCCACTGATGCCACTGAGGTGGCCTTGCTTGGAGGAAGCTCTGCATCTAGGCAGATGCTGGGACACCAGCTCCCCCTCCTTAGTGAGCCACACTAGCTCAAAGGCAGGCTGCGGTCCCTGCCGAGCACACGAGCACACGGTGCCTCCTCTGTTGCTGTAAGGAGCCTGAATAACCCCCGCCCCCATCTCCCCCAGCCCCTGCGGTGCCTGCCTCCCCCAGCTTCCTAACTGGAAGTCTCACTTAGCCTGTCTCACAGGCTCTTTGGGATCAGTTCCTGCCCATCTCTTCCACCTCATCATTACCACTCTCTCCTCCTCCTCCCCTGTCCACACCAGCCAAACTGAGCTACCGACATGCACTTTCTTGGAGTCACAATATTCTTTCCTTCTCCCTGGAATGGCTTTCTCCCTTCTCTGACTAGTTAAGCCCTACTTCACCCTTCAAAACTCAGCTCAGCTCTCACCTCCTCCAGGAAGCCTCCTCTGATGCCTCCTGATTGAGTTAGACAAGCTGCCTCCTCTGTTCTTCCACCTCTGTCCCGGCATTTACCATAACGTTTGTAAGTATCTGTCTATATGATCTAGTATCACCATGAGGCTGCGTTCTTTGAAGGTGGACCTGCCTCATATCCCCAGATACCTAGTCCTTAGCCCAGTGCTTGGCATGTCTTACAAGCTCCAAAGGGGCTAAGGGGATGGGTGGATACATGCGTGCACGCTCCGGCCAAACAAGTGGGTCCAAACTAGCGAGTACCAGTGATGCTGGTTCCTGGGGAGCCTCATGTCAGGACTGCCTTGGCTACCACATCACCTCCCGAGCCAAGCTGGATTTGGCTACAGGAGTGTCCAATCCCCATGCCCCGAGCTCCTTGGGATTCTTAGGAGAGGAGAAAATCACAACGTGCTCTGTGCTCCCTCCCTGCTCTCCTGTCCTCCCAGTCCCCACACTATGCCCATCACCCTTCCTGCCATTCAGGACTCCCACTTGACCATCCCCTTCCTGGATGAAACAGCTGGAGGTCTCCAGACAGCCCTGGACTTGCTTGTGAACCAGGTAATTAAAAGCTAGAGACAAACAGCTTCTAAAGAATAGAGGGACAGGAAGATTTTCGGCAGAAGGGGGGCCAAAGCCGTGAGTACATGGCTTCAGGAAGAAGACAGCCTTGCAGCCCTTACCCTTCCAGAGCCCACCCCAATTCCCCCAGCGGCCCTCAGCATCTGAAAACAGGGCCCCTTCCCTGCAGGGCCTGCTCACATTCTCACCTCCCACCTCCAGTGGGCGCTGCCGAGTTAATGGCCTGAACCATGTCGGTGGTGAGCGCGTCCAGAAGGCTGGTGATAAATTCCATTTTCTTCCCTTCTGGACAGCCTGAAAGATCAAATGAGATTAGAAGGCAGAGGCCAGGTAAATAATCAAGTAAACAGCTTCCTCAACTACCATCCTCCTTTCCAAACTTCTCAAAGTTCTTATCCAGCCAAATCCACTTTGGGGTTTGTCTACTGCTCAGATGATTCTTATAAACCTCCATCGTTTCCAACACAGGCCCATCAGACCAAATGGATAATAATGCCTTCAGTTTTCTTCCATTCCACAAATGTCTGCTGAGTACCAACGCAGGCTCTACGTTAAATGCCAGGGAGACAACCATGAACAGTACGTAGGGGGTCCTTATCCTTATGAACTTCACCATATACTCAAGCTAATGCCAGGTAGGCATCCTAAAGTGGGAAAATCGCTACTCCAGGGGTAAGAATCAGGTGGTGTGAGAGCACAAGGGAGGGAGAGGACCCCTGACGGCCAAAGTGGACTTCAGTAGACCCACTACTGCATCTACCCAAGAACCTCCTCCTTTTTTCATGTCCCTCCTCAACCAGCTTAGATGATAATTACAGAATCCCTATTGTAAATATTCCTAAGCCCTTTGCTCTTCTTCTCCTCCTTGCAGTATTGCAGCAAATCACAGTGAAACACAGATGAACCTTCTCATAGACATGCCTTTCCACGTCTACACCCACGTAGCTGAGTGTTGCTTGGGAACATACCCCGCACTCAACCGCATAGATGGGTGTCCCTTTAAGTTCATGATCCCCAACACCCAGCGGGCCCTCCACATGACCACAGCCCTCCCTGCAGTAACTGGTTCATTCTCTTCTCTCTCCAAAGCCTCCAGGCCTCAGGGTCAACTCTTCCTTCTCAGAGAAGCTGCAGTATCTAGAGCAGGTTCTCCCTGCCATTCTCGCAGCACCTTGCGCTCCTCCTTCAGAGTACCTGCCGCAATCGTTTATAAAGGTACGTGTTCATTTATTTGTATACAATCTGTCTCCTCCACTCCGTAAGCCTCACGTTAGTTCTGATCACTGGACGGCACATAGTAGAATCTCAATTCACATTTGTGGAGGGGATGGCTAAAAGGCGGCACCCTGATCTCCACAACTGCATTCTTGTGACTGCGATTTCTACCAACCTCATGTGGAAACTCCCTGACTTTCAGGACTCTCTGCTTTCTGTTCTCACTTGGAGTCTCGATGAGCCACGGGAAGGTGGCTGTGGTTCCAGCACTGAGCCAACTTTGCGCTGCGTAAAGACAACAGGATTCCAAGCCACTGATATTTACTAATCTCACTGCCACTCGCAGGCAGAGATCACTCTAAATAAGGGAAACCCAGGTCAGCAGCCATTTCAAGGTCCCAGGGCCCCCGACTGTGTGTCTTGTGTCACACCCATGGTCATCCTGTGTTACTAGGGGTCATCTGTATCTGCAGGGAAAGTGACAGCCGCAGCCCACACCCCTCAGGACAGCCCCTCCCAGTAAGCTATCTTCTCTTCACAGCCCTGGAAAAAATGATTCGCAGTCCTCAAAACGTCCCAGTCGCCCTCAGATGGAGAAAAAATTGTACAATGGCAACAGGATTTTAACCCAAAGACTGCATTTTAAAGACGAAGAGGCAAGCGCAAGGAAGAGAAGCAAGGCACTCAAGGGCACAGGACTAATCAGGGACAGATCCCAGCCTGGGATGCAGGTCCATGGCTCCTGGCTTCGTGCTCCTGTGATGCTCCTGCCCAGCAATCCCTGCTGTCTCTTACAGACTGGGAAACACACTGGAGGAAGGAGCTGCTTCTGCAGGATGAGGGGGTGCAGGAACAGAAGGAGGTGAAGATACCCTCAGGGGCAGCAGCATCTCCCACCTGGTAGCTCCCTGTCCTTGAAGGGGTCATCGGCCTCTGTACTCTTGGCCCTGGCGTCGCTCTCACAGCTGGGCATCACGTAGCTTGGAAGAGAGAGATGCGGGAGGTTGGGAGGGGTTGGCAACTGAGCCTGCCTTGGTCACTACTGCCTAGAAATGATCTGTGTTGTCACTAAGCCTAAAGTGCCCAGGGTTGGCAGCAAAATATTCCCTTCACTGTCCAGCAGCTACAAGGCCATCTTGGCATAAATGGTCCCATTGAGACATGTTCGGACATGTCATTTTAACCAACCAAGCATAATAACGATGTCACTTCACAGCTGCACATAGGATCTTTTTTGCCATAGAACCCAGTGACTCAGGCAAGGCAATAACCTTCTCATCGGGAAACTGAGGTTCAGAGAGGATAAGTACTTTCCCAAGGTCTACAGCTAGAAAGAGACAGATCTGTGACCAGAATCCAGGTCCCAGGGGCTTTCTACAAGAAACTCTTCTGCTCACAAATGGGGAAGTCATGTCCTAGTGACGTGACTCCCACCAAAGCAGGGCAGTAATGCTGGGAGATGCCAGCATAGCAGGAAGCTGGTCCTCTTGTCCCAGGACCCAGCCTGGGGTATAGCGCAGGCTCTGGGTGGGCTTACCGAGTGGAGGTCCCAGGCAGTGGGCGCCCCGTGTCCACCAGCACACACCAGCAGTAGCCGGTGGACTGGTGGCACTGCACTGGCTTATAGAGCCCCCCGGGGGCACACTCAGGGATGACGATGCCCTCACGGGGATTCTGCCGGGCCTCTTCCAGGGCACTCTGTCTCTCCTGGTCACACGAGTGGACTTTCTCTGTAAGAGAAGACATAGCCTTCATGAGTGGTGAATGTCACCCCTGTGACTTATCATTCCTACTGCTGTGCCCAGCACCCAGAGGAAACAGAAAGACCCAGGCCTGGGCCCAGGGAGCTATGGCATGGCTACTGAGTCACCACAGAGAGCCACGTCTCCCGCCAGCCCACGGTGTGGGCACTGGAGGCCCAGAGCCTCCCCATGGCCATCTCCACTGCCAGGGCTCCTCAGCATCCTCACCTGACAGCTTCTACTGGAGCAACAAGCCAGCCGGCCATTCCTGGCTGCCTCTCAGGGCCAATTTGCCCTGGGGTGGAATTTCCTCACTGTTCCAGAGAGGTTCCTGCCAATGCACTGTCTGCTGGCTCCAGGGGAGGTGGGCTCAGAGGCCTGGCTGCCTGGCGAGCAGATACAGGAATGCCTGTGTGTAGGGACACTCCCAAGCCCAGACACTGCAGGACAGAGCCACCGGCTACCAGCCTCACGTGGAGTGATGCTCAGCACCCATGAAGAGCAGAAGGGTTAACTCCAGCTCCTTTCCACCCTCCAACATGGCTGGACAAAGGAGGCTGAATGGACTTGAGCCTATTACACAACGCTGCTCCCATCCAGCAGGAGAGAAAACAGGCTCAGCAGGAAGGTGTCCACGCACAGCAGCCTCAGGAACATGTGAACACGTCTGAACAGCCAAACCCGGCTTCCCTGGAGCCAGGCCCAAGCCGAGACAGTGTGTGCTGCCCCGTGCCAGACACGGCCAGCTCCAGGAAGGTCTCACACCTGCACAGCCCCGTACCGGAAAATCCTACCCTGTCAACCAGTCAAAAGACTTTCCTTTTGGTGTTTTTGTTTTTGTTCTCGTTCTTATTATTAAAAATAAATGGTGTTGGGTTTCTTTTCTTATTATAAAGAAATTTTTTTGAAAATTTTTTCGAAAATCCCTAATTCCACCAAAGTTTAAACACTCGTACCTTCCCTAAATCTTCAGTTACGCACACACATTCATGCAAATATCGATGTAGACATCTACTTATTTTTTTTTTACAAAAAAGGAATCACATCATAAACTTATACTATTCCTTTATTTTTTCATTTATTTGTTTACTTTACTTTTTTTTCATAACATTATTCTACAATTTTCCTCTTAAAGAAGTTGACAGGAATATAGTCTTGGGCATCCCATGAAACTTTTACAGTGTGTTACGAAAATACGATTCTTAGAGGCAGGCAGTTGGTATCTGCAACCTGGAGAACCCTGCTGTTCACAGCACACATGATCAACATCGCAGACATTCAGCTCCACTTTAAAGGAGCCAAACCCCTGAATGGCTCTAATAACAATACACATATATGTAAAGCACATAGGTTTAACCAAACTGTGGGTGTACAGAGACACGAAGTAGCTCAATGCTGTTTTAGAGAGAAGCCAGATGATGATGGGAAAACCATTCTTTGTCTCACTGCTAGGAAAAACAAGAGCCCAGCGATTTCCATTGCAGGATAAGGGGACTATTTCCTTAAGGGCATAAAAATATCTGAGGGCCAGGAGGCAGGTATGTATAGTATATTCATTATTAAAATAAAATTTTGAATGTGGAAAATTTTTAAAAAACTATTGTTTTCATAAGGCAAATGCAGCAAAGCTAAATAGAATCCCCTTGGTTAGAAGGAGAAGAGTTTAAAACAGTTGACATCAGGCTAGGAATTCTGCCTCCAGTAACTACCACCGGAACAGTATCTAGAGGCAGCTTAGGAAAGAGATAGATAAACCAAGTGGGGAGGGCGGCCTTGGGAAATCTGCCTTAAAGATCCAGAATTTTGCCTTCAGCCCCTGGCTGGGAAGGTGCCATGGCAACTTCAGGGGGATTACGCAAGAATTTTTCAATAGCTCCCCCCACTCCAATTTGGTAGCCTTATTTTCCTACCTCGTATTTCATCCATGAAAGAGGCAATAGAGGAGCAAAACCAAAGGAAAACAGCTTTTTACTGGCACCACGTTCATGTAACAACCTCTGACAGAGGCTTTAAATTAAGACTCTGCAGGCCAACCTTCTAAGGCCATAAATCAGACTGAAAGCAGGAGGCAAAGAGAGCAGGAGGAAACGTCCCCAGGGGCAGAGCGAATGATGGACCTGACTTCACACCACTGGGGATCCTGAAACCCACAGAAATGTGGACAGGAGCCATCCAGGCAGAGGTGCGAACCCGTGGTTTGGGGCCCTGTTGACCGATTTCTGGACGTCTTTGAAGGTTGCTCTGAAATGTTTATAGTCAGTGAATGCAAAGTTCTATGGAGAATAACATCATAAAAATGATAAAGCTCAGTAATTTGGAAAAATGGGCAGTAGCATAGAATTAAATAGAAGGCTAAATGCACAGCTTCTTACTTTATTATTTTATTGTTTTTTACTATTTATCTATTTATTACTTTATTACAGTTCTTGCAAATCCAAGTGCCGTCTAAGAAAGAGACGGGAGTAGTTTATCATAGTAGGACCAACCATTTGTGAAGAGTACACAGTTTGTCTTCCAGCAAAGAGAAAATCTTAAAATCATTTTTATAACTAATAACAATAAAAGCAAACATTCATTGAGTAATACGTGTCAGGCGATAGACTAAGGGCTTTACTTGCATAATTCCTTTGCCCATGCAAGGTGAGCACTATTATTATGCCCATTTTGTAGACAAGGAAGCTGAACTCCGGGGAGGTTCGTGGATTTTCCCAAGTTCACTCAGCTGGGAGGGAGGAGGGGAGGGGTGGGAATCCCGAAGGTCAAGCCCAACTTGCTAACCTCTATGCAGTATTGCCTCTAACCATTTGCTCTAGGAGAAAAATGCATTGATTTTCTACACTAAGCCCTTCCAGGTCAGTCTCTGCAGACTGCCCTAAATCTGCTGCATTGAAAACAAAGTGTGTTCAACACAGCACAGCTTCTTCTGAACCAATGGTGTCATCTCAGCTCACGCCCACTACAAATCTTGTACCTGAGTATTTTTCTTTCTTCGCCTCAAAACTGGAAACTTAACACCAAATTTGTAACTCACCCACCATTACGGAACTATAAAATGAATCACAGTAGCTAACATTTGTTTGAGTATTTACCATGTGCCACACTTAGTCCTAGGTGCTTTACCTGTGTTAACTCTCTTCAAACTCATTACAAGCCTCTAAGATAGGTGTTATTATCCTCACCGAGCAGAGGAGGATGCAGAAACACACACTGGCTGCAAAATTTGATCAAGGTCCTAGAACTAGGAAGCGGCAGAGCTGGCATTTCAGCTCTAACTGCGTTCTTCACCTCTGTTCTTCACCTCTCTTCATCTCTCATTGCCACAGGCTAATCTGATTTTTATTCTAACCTATGTTTTTCTTATACTCAGTATGGGAGATTGTTACAAAATGGTCCCCAGTGAATCGCATCTCCCTGTATTCATGCCCTTGTGTGGACCCCTCCACGCAGACTGTGATTTGCTTTGACCAATAGAAGGCAGAGGTGATGCTGTGTGTCAGTCCGAGGCCTCAGGAGGCCTTGCAGCTCCCGCTTTCACTTTTTTGGAAGCCACCCTGAGACCACCGCATAGGGAAGCTGGTCCAGCCCACTGGGGAATGAGAGGCCACGGAGAAAAACGAAAGTGGCTCAACCTACAGCCAGCACCACCTGCACACATGCAAGGGGCGTCATCTTGGACATTCCAGCCCAGCTGATCCTCCACCTGGATGAGTTCAAAAGTGAAGTCAGGTAAAACTAGTTAAAGAACCACCTAGCCAACCCACAGACACATTAAAAAGAATAGATTATTTTTATAGTAAGCCAATAAGTCTTGAAGTGGTTTGTTACACAGCAATAGATAACTGAAACATCTAGATCTGCTCAACTATTTGTCAATTGACCCCATAAGTATTTTTGTAGCCCCTGCGAGCCCTTTAATCAATCAGTCAATCAATCATTCCTGCAGTGCTTCTCTAGAGGTCATGCAAATGCTAATCAGTAAGTGCGAAGGACACAAGCTCATTGCACATCTGAGGACCCAGAAGCCAGCCCACCCTTGAAGCCATGGTCACCCTCTATCCTTCTCAGTCACCTCCCAAATGTATCTTGAAATTCACATCTATCAGTTTTCCCGGGTACCAAAAAGTCACCTTCCTGAATGCAAGACAGGGGGTCTATTTCACGGGTCTCTTAATGACCATGGGTTCGGAGAGGGCACTCCCCAGAAATGGGCACACACTATTCTGAAACACTCAATCTCTGCTTAGGAAAGTTCGGGATGACAGAATTAGAAGGACCAGTCCGGTAACTATCAGGGGTCTGCAGAGAGAATGGGCTGGAACCATCTGTAAACACTTGGAAGACATAAACACAGGGGACAGGGAACAATTGAGCTGTCTAGGAGGCATGCGGACACAAGACCACACACACACACACACACACACACACACACACATCTGCCCTATAATCCTATCCCTGGGATGGCGTAGAGAAGAAGAGAGAGCCAGGTCACTCCCTACTTGGCAATGAGTGGTTAAAGTTCCACTCACAAACCTCTGACTGTCTAAGAGGAGAAACACAAGAGAAAAGCATCCTGTGGAAGAAATGAGACCAAGACCAGCCCTTTCCACCAGAAAACACACAGCCGTCTCAACCGCCAATTGCACAGGGCAACGCAGGACCACAGTGGAGCGGGAGTGGGCAGAGCAGGGGACAGGAAAGACCAGGTCGGCCCAGACGAGCGCAAACCCTGTCTCCAGGCCCAGGGCACAGATTCCTGCATGTCTCACCAAGCCAGGTTAAGCATGGAGCACGGCTCTGTCTGTTATGGCTAGCCCCGGCCTCTGTGCCTCTTGATTATTCATGGTGATTAGGAGCAAAGGGGAGCATAGATTGCCTAAATTCTCAGCTAATCCCCCATCTTGATTTTAGCCCAGAGTTTAGCCTTTTATCCTGGTAAAGTTTTCTCCCTCATCATCTATTTTCTTTTCTCTTCTTTATACATATTTTTA